GCCTGATGTCACATGTGCAGGGGGTGTGACCACTTACCACCTGGAGCTTTCAAGTGAGAGCGTTTGAAATGACACACACTTCTGAAATGCCAAACGAGGATGCTTTGAAGGTAACAGCCACCCCCTCCCCTTCCTATTAACCCCGTTCCTGATGGGCTGAGGGCACCACCCTGAGGCCAGCACCATGCTCACGAGAAGCTGCCACTCAAGGGAGGAATAGGGATGTCTGCTGGAATGTGAAAGAGGGATCACCTTTGTCTGTACCAAGGGGTAGAATGAGGGCATTGGGAGGTAAGAGAAGAGAGGCAGGTTCCCACCCAAGAAAAGAAGGAATTTCCAGCCAGCAGAACCGCCCACCAGTTGCCCACCTCCAGTGGCAGTGTCCATCCCTCGGTACCCAGGCAACGCTGAGCTGCTGCCACATGGATGAGGTGAGCGTCTCTGAGACACGAGTTTTTCAAGGAAGGACGGGAATTAGCCCCATTTACAGGCCAATCCTGTTAACAGCAGACATGCACAGTTTCACCTTTGAGCACTTCCTTAAAAAAAGAAAGAAGAATACTGGGGATGGGAAGGGGTGGGGTGGAGGGAGTAAAGGGGGTGAGAAGGAGACATCTGTAATACTTTCAACTCTAAAGATATATATATATATATATATATATGTGTGTGTGTGTGTGTGTGTGTGTGTGTGTGTGTGTATATATATATATATATATATATTTTTTTTTTTTATTGATTTTGTACAGAGAGGAAGGGAGAGAGATAGAGAGTTAGAAACATCGATGAGAGAGAGTCATCGATCGGCCGCCTCTTGCACACCCCCTACTGGGGATGTGCCCGCAACCAAGGTACATGCCCTTGACCGGAATCGAACCCGGGACCCTTCAGTCTCCAAGCCAACGCTCTATCCATTGAGCCAAACCGGTTTCGGCTCTAAAGATATATTTTTATAAAAAGAGTGGAGAAGCAGATTCCACCTCAAAGAAGTGTACATTCCAACTGAAATTACTGTTCTTGACTATTCTTGGAGAAATCAAGGTGCTGAGTATTGTGCTTACTTCTTTTTAAAAACACAGCTAGTGAGTGAGGGGACTGGGAATACAGTTTTTTCCTTCTGATTTCTTACTTCCCACAAATTAGTTTCTCTTTTTGATTGAAGAGTTTTCATGATCTGTTTTTGTTTTTCCTTTAATTAAAAAAAAAAAAAAGTTTGAAAAATCAGTGCTGGGTAGCTATGCAAAATACTTAAAAAAAAAAAAAAAGGAAAATGTAAAAATGCACATAACATGAATTGTCAAACCAGAGCCTGGAATAGAGTTTTTCTGTCCAACTTCTAAAAGCTGTGGTAATACATAGAACATTATGAAAATATTCAGAGACATGCCCTGGATCCAGACACAGAGACGCCCCACTTGCTTCTGCCTCATAGCAAAGACAAACACACACACACACACACACACACACACACACACACACACTTAAGAAGGAAGACTTGCCTTCATCCCGGGAGAAGGTGAAGTGTATTTCTTGGGATTGGCCTTGACCTGACAGGTCCCAGGGGTGAGTCACTTTCTCCTACTTCAATAATTTGACTGTGATGTAATTATAATAAAGGTACCTTGTTTACTTAGAACCGAAGTTCACTTTGTCTCCCTAGAAAGAAGGGAAAAGGTAGTGATGAGAAAGCTTTTGTCGGAGATGACTTGACTAAGCGGCATTTCTTTTTAACTTGAACTTGGGAGTGGTGAATGCCAGGGTAAGTTGGGGCTGCTTCTCCTGTAGGTTTGCGCTTCTGATCTGGGGCAAGTAAAATAGGAAGAATATTGTTGGACTAAATAAATCCAGGGTGGATGGGAGGGAAGGGGAGAGGAAGGAAGGATGTGGACACAACTTAGACCCTCTATCTCTCTGAGATCTGGCCAGTGGCCAGGAAGAGCAAACGCTGGAAGAGTGCCCGCCACTCAACTCAGCTCCATTGATCGGCAAACTGGGAAGCGGGCACTCGGTGTTCCCAGCCCCGCCCGCCAGCCCGCAGCCAGGGTCCAGGCAGCGGAGCCCCGGGGCCTGTCCTCGGGGGCTCTCTGTAGAATGGGCCGGAGCGTCAGCCTCGGATGGTCCTGCTCAGAGGCAGTCAGGGCCGCCTGGCCAGGTGACTCAGCGAGTCCCTGATGCTGCGATTTCAGGACAGACCTCCACCTCAGCAGTAGCTCTCGGGGCACCTGCAAAGCCACAGCGAGGTCTCAGACGGCAGAGCCTGGTGCTTCTGGAGAGGGAGGTAGAATCTCTTCCTGCCTTTGTCCCTTAGCAACTGAAGCAACCAGCCCGTTTACATTCCTTCAGTGGTGTTATTGAAGAGGCTTGGCAGCTCCAAAATGTTTGCCGTGTCCCGTAGTCCCATTAGGACGTTTTTTTTGCTAGCTTTTAGCTAGCGTCTGGAATGACCCATTGGATGCACGGGGCTGATGTGTCAAGAATCCGCTTTACCACTTCAGGGAAACTGGTAAAGCAGCTGCTCCCATCGCTAACTCGGGAGGAATTTTGCAGCCTCTCGAACTACGGTACTTTTTTCTGTTTCTTAGTCTGGCCTGATACCGGGGTGGTTTTAGGTTGAAACTACTGGTGTAAACCAGTTGGGATGGGGGGAGGGTTTAACCATGAAGGGGAAGAGGTAATCGTTTTAAATTCTATTAAATTTCTGCCCGAATTGAGCCAAGGTGTCAGAGGTTATGGTTTGGGAAGGAAACTATTGCTACAATAGGAAAGACGGTAATCCAAAACGTCATTGGGACTTTAAAGAACTTTATTTTGAGCAATTAGAATAATCTGTGGTGTGTAGTCCACTTGGATTTCCTTCTGTGGGAAGGACCTCCCGTGGCACCAGGCAGCCTGTTCTTATCACCTGCTGGCATCTCCATGCTGGCTTAGCCGTGGGAGGAGGGGGTGGATGCGACCTTCATCTTAAAGAAACGTGATGGATCTGCCTGCCGCGCGCGGAGGCCAGAGTGGAGGTTTCATTGAGGATGCATTCTTCTGGCAGCTTCCTGAACTATACACGTCTGGGATCCAAACTGCTCCGTCGCTATAGGCAAGCTCCCCTGCCTGGCTGGCGCATGCAAAAGGACTTGCATACAGGAAATTTCTGAGCAGAGCAGAGAGACGCAGGTCTGGCTGGCTGAGGAATGAAGCCTTGGCTCTCGCGGAGCCGTTCCTTCACTGCTGTGCCAGGGCAGGTCTCTTGTTGAGAAGACGTCTGAAAGGGAAGGAATTACAGCCATGCGGCTTGGTTTCAGGAAGTCTACTTTCGTGTCTGTGTGCTTCTGGGTCGAAGCGGTTGCAGCGTGGTCTCCATCCCGCTCTTCCTTCCGAACACGGCACCATTTTCTTCCTGAAGCCGCTCCAGCCTGTGCACTTGGTTAACCCGTGATGGGCGTCAGAGGCCGTGGGGCCGGGGCTCCAGGGAATGGCTGAGCCTGAGGACCTGAACCTCGGGAGTCAGCGGAATGGCAGGGGGAGCTCGCCACCGCCTAAGGAGGTGTTTGGAAACCGGCCTTCACCCAGCGGGATTGCAAGTGGAAAGGAACACGGGAAAGACACCTCCGAATCTTTGAAGTGACCGAGCGATGGAGAAATAACTGAAATAGGTGAACATTCTGGAAGGGTGGGTGGGTGTGCCCTACATCCTCAGTTTTTCCTGGATGGAGTCCCGCAGTGGGTAGCGCACTCTGGATGTGGACGGAGAGGCCAGGCTTGGGGCTGAAATGAGCCTCTCTCTAAAGAGCGTCACTCACTCGCGGGGATTCAGTTCTCTGCAAAGGAATTCTGCTCTTCTGGTTGCGGACATGTCCCCTCGGTGCTGCTGGCTCCCCGTTCCCCAGCTAATAACGAAATAGCCTCAGCAAACGGGCAGCACGACCATGGCCTCTGTCTCTCCCTCTCCATCCCCATGGCTGAACCCCCTTTTATGTCTTAAGAGTTGTTTTTACTGAATGCACACTTCCTTTATGGCCCTCCACCTGCGGCTTGTGGTTCTAGGACCAGATACACCTTGTGAGCAGGCAGGATCCTGAGCAGGAGGGCGGTTTTATAATTGTTGCAGGTCCAGCCTCGCTGGGCAAGGAAGATCTGGGGACGCTCCCCGGGTCTCAATGCACACTGGCCGGCGTGGGGCCAGCTGCCTGGGTGTGTGTGTGCTTTACTTACAAGCGGACATTGAAGGCTTTGTGACCGAGAGGAAAGCGTACTGGGTTTTAACGTTCAGATAAGGGAAATTCCAAGCTCACAGAGCCAGGGCTGTGATTCAGAATCGTATCACGCCTTTAAATTTCCCTCCACGGACCAAAGGGTGCCCCCACTTTTAGGGTATCGTGATGCTGTTTATATCGGTTGCTTCCCCAAGTTTAACCTCGGTAAACAGGGACGTGGATTTTCATCCCCAATCTTTGATGTCTAAGGAGAAAATGGAAGGACTTATTCCCAGTGCCCTTGTGTTGACCTAGCCTTGGGGAGAGGGTTAGTAGAACTGAGGGTGACTTTATCCCATCCCAGCAGGGTTTCTTGCGACGTGCACAGCCTCGAGCTTCTGCTGCCCCTCTGTGCTCAGCCACATGAAGTCTGTAAGCTTTGGGGCAGAGTGCAGTGACATCTAATATTGTTGCCTCTAGGACTTGTGTGTGAGGTCAAGCAAACACAAAGCCATCATTGTGCGTTCTGTAGTCCCCAGAGACCTCCTGCGTCAGCTGGAAAGGGGGGAAGTGGGGCAGTGAGGTGGGGCCGAGTCTAGGAACTGTGCTGTCGGAGGCAGGAAACCAGCCTGAAAGGGGATGGAAGGGCTTTGGTGGGAAATAAATGGCACTATGTTGTTGATGGAAAAAGATCTTGGCAGGGCTGTTGTTGTGAGTGTTCTGTGGCTTAGAAAGGAATTTCCTACAGGCTGGACTAACCATTAAAAATGTCTCTACCTCCAGGAGTCCCCGGCGTGCAGTAGAGACTCGCCGAAGGAAATGTCATCCTGGACCATGGGTACCCGCAGCCCGGACAAGCGAGGAAGTTTCTTTAAGGTAAAGGAAGCCTCTGTTGGGATCGCTAAGTGCACCTCGCTCCCTTTGCCGGGCTGCATGGGGAGCTGCAGGCTCTCCAGCTGCCCGGCCTGGCAAGCTGCAGGGGCAGCCTGCTCTCTGAGCCAGCTCTGGCTGGCGGAGCGTGCCTGAGCCCAGCTGCAAGCTGTTACCAGGTTTGGCAGTCGTTGGGACTTTTGTGAGCTTCGGGACAGGCCCAGGACCCAGGCACCCAGAGGTGCCACCCTGTGGAAGACAGCTGAGGCGATCTTTGGTTGCCAGCGGCCCAGGTTTTAGCGGGTTGGTTTTACAATGGAAGCTGGACTTTGCATTCTAGTGAATCAGTGGTGTTGGTCCTGGGTTTTACACTTTGCTTGAGCACTTAGTGCTTATTTAAAAAAAAAAAAAAAAAAAAGAAGAAGAAGAAGAAGAAGAACAATAACAACAGTAAGCAGAGACGGAATGTTATTTACTGGTGTATTTTATCAAACTCCCCAGAGGTCTTTATGGTCAGACAAGGGCGAACCAAGGCAGCATGAATAAAACTGTACAGCTTCTCCAGATGCATACTGATGTCGGTGCCATACAGTTACTTTGCCAGCTTAAAGAGACAAGACTCTAAATGGATGTTTTACATTCTCTGTGTGTGCATGTGTTTTAAATTAAGACTTGGTGGCCATTCCTGATTTACACTTGGAAGTGGATTCCCTTCTCATTGTTCTTGCTCTCTGTCCTTCTGCTCACCCTCAAAGTAAAACATCATGATTGTAGAACATTTGGAAAATACAGAATCATGTAAAAGAGTAGAAAAATGAAGGCAAAGTTTGCATTTGAAATCTGTCGTAGGCAGGTGTTCAAACTGCAGTTCAATCTTTCCTCAATAGGAGAAATGGTATAGAGGCTTCTTAACTTTGTTACAGAGGAAAACTGACCACTTTACTAGATTTCCCACCCTAATGGGTTGTGAGTATGTATTAACTCCCATTTAAATGTGTCCTACTTCCAAGAGCCAAACCTGATTTATTGTGTCAATTAGAGACTCCATATAATCCACTGGAAGAGCCTGTTGATAAAAGAAAGCTAAGGTCCATGATAAGGGAGGTCAGGGTCAGTAAATAGTCCTGCTGGGTCTAAGCCAGGGGTGGTCAGGAGGTGTGTGGACAGGGTGTAGAGGTCTCAATCCATGTCCTTTGAGCTATATTTTTCAAGGCAGAAAAGTGATTGGGTTTCAGCAAAGTTTATATCATTGTTCGGGATTGATGGGTATAGTAAGACAAGGGTCTTTTTTTCCCCTTTATTGATTAAGGTATTACATATGTATCCTTATCTCCCCATTGCCCCCAACGCCCCCCCCTAGTGCCTGTGACCATTGGTTATGCTTATATGCATGCATACAAGTTCTTTGGTTGATCTCTCCCCTTCCCCCCTACCTTCCCCTGCCTTCCCTCTGAAGTTTGACCATCTGATCAATGCTTCTCTGTCTCTGGATCTGTTTTTATTCATCAGTTTATGTTGTTCATTATATTCCACAAATGAGTGAGATCATGTGATAATTATTTTTTTTCCAACTGACTTATTTCACTTAGCATAATGCTCTCCAGGTCCATCCATGCTATTGGAAATAGTAGGAGTTCCTTCCTTTTTACCGCATTGTAGTATTACCACAGTTTTTTAAGCCACTCATCTGCTGATGAACACTTAGGCTGTTTCCAAATCTTAACAATTGTAAATTGTGCTGCCATGAACATTGGGGTGCATGTATTCTTTCTGATTGGTGTTTGTTTCCTTGGGATATATTCCTAGAAGTGGGATCACTGGGTCAAATGGAAGTTCCATTTTTACTTTTTTGAGGAAACACCATACTGTTCTCCACAGTGGCTGCACCAGTCTGCATTCCCACCAGCAGTGCACAAGGGTTCCTTTTTCTCCGCATCCTCGCCAGCACTTGTCATTTGTTGATTTGTTGATAAGACAAGGGTCTTGAGTCCTGGCAATAAACCATCATTGATATAAAAGTTGTTTTCCCAGGTGAGCAAACTATTTTCTAGGACAGATTGTCCTATAAAAATTTTCTGCAGCAAACAGAGAAGTTATTTATTGGTTTACAGCTTTAACTTCCTGGGCAAGAATATCCTGGAAGAAATAGTTATGTTGACACAGATGGTCTCGATTCTCAGCCCTCATAGTTAAGGTATGTGGATGCAGCATTTGCAGTTCTCAAGCAGTTTACTCAATTTGAATCAAACTTGCATAACATCCACCATCCTGAGGCCAGGGAGGGGCTCCTCAAGTCTCCTGTAGACCAGGTGCTAGACCCACCAGGCCCCTGACTCAGCTCCAGTTCCAGGATTCTGGCTCAGGATGAGATAATTATTGCCTCCTGCTAGAAGGGAAGAACCCAACCCCCTCCTTAACCGAAGGCACTGCCTACATCAGCCTAAATACTGGCCAGTTCATAATTACCACCCTCTGCTCAGCAAGTGTAGTGGCGCTGGCTCTTACCTCGTAGTTAGATATTAAATTCAAGACAAAATGAGAACATTGAGTATGGTCAAACTTGCCTTGGAAAATTCCTTAGGTGGGGCCTTGTTGGACCCAATTTTTCCTACAGTCCTGAGGAAAATCTTCTTTTTCTTTTCTTTTTTTCAATGTTCCGTTGAAAAGCAGGTTAAAGGTAATTACTTTATATTTCTGGACTGTGTCCTATGAAAGGGTCAAGCAAGAGGAGAGAGCCCTGCTGGAACTGCTGAGGCAAGCTCTACTGCCTCTCTCCCGAGTTGAAGGCCCTTGAGGAAAATGTAGGCAAGGAGACCTGCACTGTCGGGGCTGTCTGTTTCGTTCTTCATTTTGTTTTTGTTCGCAGAGCTTCAATTTATTTGTTAGATGCTCCACGTAAATGATATTTGACCCTTGAATAACAGGGACTTGGACTGTGTAGGTCCACTTGCATGCAGATTTCCTGCAGTAAATATAGTCGACCCTTTGTATCCAGGGCTTTCCCAACCATGGATTGAAAGTACCGTTTTCCATTCAAGGTTGGTTGAATCTGCAGATGCGGAAGTCCAACTATAGAGTCAACAATTACATGCAGATTTTCTACTGCTTGGGGTCAGCCCCTTTAGCCCCTGTTGTTCAAAGGTCAACTGTATTTCTTTTCTTTCCTCTTTATAGCCATTGTTATTCTTTACTATGGTAATCCACAGTTAGTTATTCTGGGAAAATATTATTAATCATAATTCAGATAAATGATATTAGTTATCAATTATTTCCTAATGTAGGCATGTCATTATCTGCAAGGATGAAGTAAACTGCCCTTTGGACATTTAATATTGGCTGTTTAGAGGTTCACTTTTTTTTTTTCTTAAATATATTTTAATGATTTTGTACAGAGAGGAATGGAGAGAGATAGTTAGAAACATCGATGAGAGAGAGTCATCGATCAGCTGCCTCTTGCACATCCCCTACTGGGGATATGCCCGCAACCAAGGTACATGCCCTTGACCGGAATCGAACCCGGGACCCTTCAGTCCCCAAGCCGACGCTCTATCCATTGAGCCAAACCGGTCTTGGCTAGAGGTTCACTTTTAAAATGCTGGAGTTCAGTCGTTGAGATGGTTTGTCGCTCAGCACATCCTGGGACCCACTGGGCCTTCTTTTATTTCTCGTGCTTTTATATTTCAAACGTTGACTGCTTTTGATTAGCCAGGCTTGTGCATGGCCCAGGGGAGAGAAAAACCAGAAGCCATCCCTGACCTCAGCGAGGTTTCAGTCTGGTAGCAAGAAAGATTATTAATCTAATAATTATGACACTGAACCCATAGTTAAAAATCATAAGAGAAAACAGTGCCTCCTGTGAGAAATAAAAGGGGCTTTGAGACTGTATAACGTAATGCTGGGTTCCAGAGAAATCTTTCCTGAGGAAGTGGCTTTTGGTTGGAGAGCGGATATTGACTGTATTTCCCAGGGATGTGGTGGGGCTACATTTCAAAGAGACTCTTCAGCTACTGCAGTGTCATTCTCCACATCCACCGTAAAGCATGAAAAGTCTCCGTCATGTTCTTGGCCCACAGCTGACTTCCACATGCTTGTTATGTTTTTCTTGCTTATAGGGCTCCTGCGATTTTGTGTAAAGCGTAGTCGTTGGGCCTCTTTTACATCAGTATGTACCCCCATCCAGTTTCTGGTGTATTTAAACCGGAGATGCCGACCACTAGAAGCAAGCCTTGATTTGTGGCTTCCCATGTGTCCTGGCACATGGAAGTGACTCAGATAAGTCACAGGACACAGAGTGGTGGATAACGCACTGATTGAGCGTTCTGGGGTAATGAGAGGGCCCAGGGTCATTGTTCACGTAGAATTGTATCCTGGAACCCTGGCCACAGAAATCCTGTGCTGCTGGGCCAACAGGTCAGAGTCCTTCCCGGCACCATTGTTAATGTCCCCCACCTCCTGTGGGAAACAGTAACTTCCAGCTCTATAAGGTCTCCGTGAAAACGCACGGGGAAGGCCAGCAATGCCCTGTTACCTGCCCCTAAGTAATGAGGGTGAACACCTATTGCTGTCATATTGCAGGGGTGCGCTGTGTGAAAGGGATCGTGTAAGAACAACATTGCCTAGGCTGGTAAAGTTCCAGATGGTCCTGCACGAGGGCAGAGGAGCTCAAAGGAATCTTTGGTCTCTCCTTTTCCTGAGCTCCACAGCTTCCTCCAAGCCACCCTGTGCCCACACCACCCAAGTGCCCAGTGCTGGCAAATACCCCTCTAATCTTCAGCATCTTCACCCGTCCTCCCTTTCCTGCATTATCTCCTTACTTGGATTCTCATTCCTTCATTTGTGGGCACCATGGGCAATGCTCGTGATCCGTCTGCACTGCCCCCGAACATGTGTGCTTGCTTTGTCCCGAGCCATCCCCTTACCTCCGCAGACTCGGGCTCCATCTGGGTCCAGCACCGGGTCTGCACTCTTCCCCTGCAGTTTGTGCTCCCACCTACTCCTCAGCTCTT